GACTTGGCCGTTAAGAGTAGAGGATTTTCGTAGGTTATTAGTCTTCGATCATCGATGTCTCCGAAGCATTGCTCGTGTATCATGGGACAACCGTATAAGCAATGCTGTTATATTAGGAAACGGGTGCTAGGTAAGGATGGCAGGTCAATAGATGAAGTAATGAAACTTCATCAGTTGAGGTGGTTGGGATATGTGCTGCGTATGCCTAACCACCGACTGCCTCGACGAGCAATGTCTTGCAATGTAGGAATAGGTTTGAAGAAAGCTAGGGGCAGCCAGACCAAAACATTGCAGAAATGTATGAAGCCAGTGACAAGTGGACTGAGTCATGTTGGCAGATGTAGGCTACCTGGTTGGGGTCCGCGAGACGATAGTGACCAATGGTTAGAGACCTTGAACGACATGGCTCAGAATCGTTTGCAATGGCGCAGGTGCATCCACTCTTTGTGTTCTATGAAATTCTAAGCTTCTACATTCCTCATAATCTCTACCTTTCTCCTTGTAAATTTATCTTACTGAATTATACTTCTCGAATCATATCTTCGAACCCTAATCTTCTCCATTACTGCTAATACTTCTACTATCGCTATTACACTTGGATTTCAAATGAAAATTGCGTCTCTGTGCTGAAGGGGCATGGCCACTTGAACTGATGTAGTTACGTACGAAGTTCTGCGTTGTATCTGTCTGTCTGTCTAATTAAATACTGGTATCATATCACAGAAGAAGAAAATTAAGAGATCTATTTATGTTATCTCCATTAAAATATTAATGTATAGAGAATGGAAGAACAGACAGCAGATTGACAGTTACACATTTTTAATAACTTTTTACCGCAGAAGATGCTTTTAGAAGAAATAAAATCTATTTAAAAGAGTAGAAAACGGGTACCAATATATTTTCTTAACAACAGTAGTCGTCTAAATGAATAGTGGATAACACTGGAGTCCAAGACGCGTGTTTCGTCCTATTTGGAACTCGTCAGTTGAATGTACCTACATCCCAGAGCTGATGTTTGCTCTAGAACTCGAACATTGAATGAACATCAACTCTGAGAAACAGATACGTTCAAAATACTAATCCCAAATAAGAGGAAACACTCGTTTTGAATTCCATTACTAGCCATTATTCATCTCTATTCATCACGTTTATGATTTAATGGCTATATTAAAGCAATCCTCCCTGGATGCACACATACAGACTGAGACTGATCGATTGAAGTCCTAACAGTATTAATGATGAGATTCGAACTGTCAATAGAAATGTAGTTTTCCGATTAACAGCCTTGAAGTTATTCCAATTTCAGTTATTGATCATTTTACTAACTTCAATGAAACTCAGTAATTGGGTGCGATTCCAAAGTGATAATATCATATAATGATATAGACGAAATACAATTCCTACTTACATTGTATATGTCCTCTCGACCAAATCCTGTTGATAACAACTAACCGATTACGAGTATTTTGTGTGTATATGCTATATGCTATGTATATTCATTTCAACAACAATGGAAACTTATGATTTGAGATGGGCTTCTACATAACAGTACTATGGACAGTTGTGTCTACAATAATCTCATTTTAAAATGTGACTAGGTGAATCAAACTGTGATTGTCTGGTGATAGGTGAAGTTATGTTAACAGCTAACGGTTAATTATTTGTTCGGTAAGTGAAAACAAATTGTACGTTTTGAACTAAGATTCTTATCTATTTATTTTTTTGTCCGTCAGTAGTCGATTCATGTATAATATTCTAAGTCATCCGAACGTACGTATTCCTACTGATCCCATTCAGGCAAGTTTAAAATCACTAATCATGTGACTATGTTATAATAATGCCATTATTACTCAATTCTCAAACTAGTCGAAACATCTTTCTCTCTAACCTACCAGAAACTGAAGCGATTTGTGTTTGTTCAACAGATGTAATAACTGGTCCTTTGTCTTGTGCTGCAGTAAAATCTTCTGTTTTATTGATGACACTATTATGTTGTTGAACTTTTACCAGTTTTTGACCTGAAAGTTCCTGAAATAGTAGAATAAATGATTGTAATAAAATTTTTTTTTGAATTGACATTAGATTTGATATATTCAGTTCGCAAACAACATTTTGCCAATAAATACAGCTTTTTGCAATGAATTCATAGCGTTTCAGTGTGTATAAAGAAGCCGTCAATAGAATCTTCCATGTTATCAAATTGTTTGTTATCGGGATAATCAGGCCTAGAGTCCTAGTTAAGTATCAATAGGGCATACATTTTGATTGATATCTCGCTCCATGATGTATATATATATTCATTATTTAGGTGAGTGACGCTAACGGGTTCTGAAACAGTTTGGGCGGAGTAGTGGAGCTTAGTGTTTAGAAAGTTTCAGAAACCGGATAGGTTCGAACGCATGAAGAATGAAAAGCGTAGAAAACCATGTTAAAGGATATTGAAACCAATAATTGAAGTAACTCATGCGTTTTGACTGCACAACAGCTTTCATAGATTGTTCAGTCACTTACTCTTCCTTACATTCATACTATTAATGTATCAGTCATCTGATTTATAACGTACATATACTTGTCAATGACTGGTTTCTAGAAAAATTTCTGAGGTTTTAGTATTAACTCGTAACCAGTGCAGTTCAATCATGCTGAGACAAGCTTTCAACGACAATCGATAATGATTACGTTTTATCGTGAACTGACTTAATTTCTATGCACGTGAAGCGATTTATCTTGAACCAATGAATTATTGTCCTCGTCTAAAGATTTGAATAGTTCGTTGGTTTTTGAATTATTCTCTAGGTCAGATTAATTCACTAATAAATTAAATAATTTTTACAAACCATTTCAGCTAACTTAAATTATCCAGTTGTTGATATTTTGATTCGAATTTGATCAGTCTAAGTTGAAATATGTGCATTTTATGGAGATTGTCTCAGGTAGTCATTGTGATGTAAGTTTACATGGAATGGTCAGATCATTACGAATTAGAACTTATAATCGGTAGAAAACTGAGTGGACATCTAGACTCAACTGCTAGGCGCATAACACAATGAACAAACAGTACTGGTGTGGTGCGCGCTACTTATAAGTAGTATATGACGCGAGTAAAAACGTAATGTCTGGCAGCAGAAGATGGGGGAAGATCAAGAAAGGAAGAGCGGGAACACAATGGGATTTGTATGAAACGCATGAACAGTGAAATGTCAGACAATGGATTGATGTTTGCAACAGGAATAGTCCAGTTCGATATGATGGATTGATATTTTGCAAATTAACGATTTACGCGGTTGCCCTCACCTGTGTTCTCCTTCACTACACTGGGTTCGAATCTCGGAGTGGACATGAACTCTGGGATGCCCAAACATTTAGCTGATGAGTCATCAATAGGACAAAACATGATTCTTGGAATTCATTCCTAGTCATAGCAGATCTATTCTACCTTAGATTAACATTTTAATTTCAAACTTTCAATCTTGCCATACATTTCAGAAGAAATATTTTCATAAATAAACTAATTAAAATCATAAAATATGTAGGCAGATTAGATATTTCAACTTACAGTTATGGGTAGTAAACAGAATATTTGAGTTGTTGTCATATTTATTATTTCACATGGTTGATCATCAAAAAATACAGTGGAATGATTTGGAAGAAAACGTGATCCAGTTAATGTTATATATTCTTTACCTAGTAGATTTAAATCAATAAAAGACAATAATAGCAAGTTTTAGAAAGAGGAAATACTAATAATATACAATGTTGAATAGTAAGGATGATACTAGATAGAAATTGTAAATCTGTTGTTTATGAACCAACCAAATCACTCTTCATGGAGATGCCTTGGAGGACGTTAACCCCTTTACATATCTTGGCAGCATCATCGACAATCAAGGTGGATCCGATGCAGATGTGAGGGCGCGGATTGGCAAAGCAAGGGCTGCATTTCTACAGTAGAAAAATAACTCGAACTCCAAACAACTTTCAACCAAAACCAAAATCATGATTTTCACAACAAATGTCAAGACAGTTCTACTGTATGGAGCGGAAACTTGGAGAACTATGAAAGGCATCATCCAGAAGATACAAGTGTTTATTAACAGTAGTCGTCGCGAAATACTTCGGATTCGTTTGCCAGACACTATCAGCATCAACGTACTGTGGGAGAGAACAAACCAGATTCCAATGGAGGAGGAAATCAGGAAGAAGTGGTGGAAGTGAATAAGACACGCACTAAGAAAAGAATCAAACTGCATCACAAGACAAGCCCTCATATGGAACCCTCAAGATAAAAGGAAAAGAGGAAGGCGGAGGAACACATTACGCCGAGAAACAGAGAAAGGTATGATAGGAATGAACAAACATTGGATAGAACGGGAGAGGGAAGCCCAGGACAGAGTTGATTGAAGGAAACTGGTGGGCGGCCTATGCTCGATTGGGGGCAACAGGCGTAAGTAAGTAAGTAAGTAAATATAAAACATAATGAAAATATATCTGATGTGAAAAAACATTCTACAACTAACGAACAAATGGCTAGTAGATACAAGTGATTACGTGATGAATAAACACCGATAATAAATAAGAATAATTAAGAATAAAATTGAAATAAGATTACTAATCCACAAGACAATCGAAATAAAAAGGCGTAGTGATACCATCAATTGAATGAAAGAGTTGAACGAAATTTTCTACCGTGATAAAGAAACGTTTACGTCGCTAAGATAGAGAGATAGATCGATGCTGTGTGCATAAACCAGGTTGCTGATGCTAGCAAACGCCGGAAGATTGGAACTCTACTTTGCCATACCGATCTATGATCATAGCAACTAAACATTTCCATGTCATTTCAACTAATTTAACGATCATAATTTTTAACTATTAAAGTTTGCGCGCAGCTGGTAAAAAATCAAACAGAAATATAAATTGAATTCATGGTGTTCTAATAAAATCTTTGTTCTTCTACTCTTTGAAATGATAAAAGGAAAATTCTAATACCACCATCTTACCATCGTCAAAAAGCCCTGTCTGTACAACATCTCTAATTTCACTGCCTTCAGTGCCTAATTGAATTTCTATTGGATCTTTGATAAATCCTTTATCAATTAAACGTAGTCGACCAGTAAGCTGTCCAGCTGGAATAACATTAAGATTTTGATTGAAAAAATATAAATTTGTTGTAGTAGTAAGAAATGGTTGTTGTTTCAATACAATTTCATCATTGAACATCAAGAACAATTCGTAGGATTCTGGTGAATTGGCAATAAAATCAGTTCCAGTTAATATTAACGTCAGATTATTGTTAGCTGAAATAAAAAAAATTAGTTAATACGATTTATAATGAATATTCCATCTAGCATAAAAATCAATAACAAAACTGAAATATTGACAGCATGCAATATCGTAAGTAGTTGGTGGTTGGTAGTGGTTTAACAGTTTGTTATTGTTTGTAGGATTTATGAACAAATAAATAAATCATGCACAGTCAGAATTTTCAATACAAATGTCAAGGCAGTTCAAATGTATGAGGAGAACTAAGAAAGCCATCATTTGGAAGATACAAGTGTTTGTTATTAGTTATCCGAGGATCAGCTGATCAGTCACCATCAGCAAACACCAACTGTTGGAGAGAAGAAACCAGATTCCGGTGGAAGTGAATAGGACACACACTGCAAAAAACACTAAACTGCTTCATAAGACAAGCCTTCATTCGGAATCCTCAACGTCAATCGAAAAGAGGAAGGTAAAGCAACACAGTACGCCGAATATTGGAAACAAGTATGGAAAAAAATGAACAGTAATTTGACAGAACTGGTAAAGCAAGTCCAGGAGGGAGCAGGTTGGAGAATGCTGGTTGGCAGTCTATGCTCCACTGGGGGTAACAGGCGTAAGTAAATAATATCATCATAGCCTATTAAAAATTATGTGGGTGTAAGGAAA